ATAGCAAAATTAAATGGAGGGTGCTGATTTGAAAAAAAATAGGCCCAATGGTGAGGGAACCCAGAGGTTGTATTTGGATCCATTGAAGAGAAGCCTTGAGGGCGCATGGTGAATCTCACGTTGAAGCTCTTGGATCTGACTGCATTGACATTGAAAGGTGTAGATCTGATGCTACCTGGTGTGTGTGCATAGCCTGGTTGTACTAAATTTGCAAAGAAAGAATGGAAAAATAATATGTAAGAGGCAGGATTTGGACCCCTGCCCTTACACATAACAAAGCTTTAAATGTGTTGCCTCTACCGTTTGGACGGTGATACTTCTGTTAGCCTAAACGCACCCATAAATATATATATTATACACAAATATAATTATTTTAAATTAAAAATAAATGAACGCAGGTGGGACCCTGGTGTTTGGTGGACCAATCAGGAGCGGAGAGAGGGAATGGGTATTTTGAATTAACCAATAGGATACAAGGACAATGCCACGCCAGCTTGGACCGCCAATTGTGATTAGTCAGACCATTGGAGCATGTGATTTCCACCATCTTCTCCGGTGAGACCCCTAAAAAGTGAGGTTCGATTGAGCACTTCTGGGCATGAGACAACTTGAATGGAGGGTAGTATATGCTCCTAGGAACCCTGGGATGTTGATAGAATGCTTGGAAAGATCTGAATGAGGTTGGATCAGAGGTTTCAATTTGGACAACTTTAAGAATTTATGCAATTTGGTAGTGTTCTCTCTAGGCTGTGTATGCGTATTTCGCTTACAAGAATGCTGCTTATATAGAGTAGAAGGGAGGGGAAAATAAGGCAATGGGTTAAAGAACCTTGATTATGTGTTTGAAAGTCGTAAATGAAAATTTGTAACTTTGGCCCAAAATATGGAATCTTGGCCTTTTTTGAAATTTGAATGCATGTGGATATTTTGGCTCCTTCGAATGCTCTCTAGTGTTGCTCTTCAATTGGCCTATTGCCTCCTTCGACTGGACCTCTTATGTAGCCTTCTAATGGGCTTCTTGAGTGTCTTTCGAATGGTTCCTTCGTTGGACCCATCTATTTGCCTTAGTTTCTTGATTCCAAAAGCCCAAGTGAGGACTTCATTCTGGCCAATTGAAGCCTCCTTTATCATGAATGTAATGGTACATGAGGCTTGGGTTGGGTAGCATGCAGGACTTTTTCTTGACTCATCAAAAGACAAAACAACACTTGTCTTTAACCTTTATGTGTCTTTCGATTGGACCAAATGCATGCCCCTTCGAAGGCATCATTTGTGTGTCCTTTGAATAGCCCACATACGCTCCTTGTGAATTCTTCGAATGGGCCACCAATGTGTGTTCATAATGTAGCAATCATGTGCTTGTAAAATGAAGGTAGACATGAAAAGGAAACCTTTGCTTGGTGAATCAAAGGCCAGTTGAAGGGGGTGCCTTTTCCTTGTGGATCAAAGGCAAGTTTGAGGCCTTTAGCCTTGTGAGTTAAAGGCATGCTGATGGGTCTTTTCCTTGTGAAACCAAGGCAAGCATGAAAAGGCATACGTGCACTGATGACAAGCTGAGGGGCCTTTTTCCCAGTGGTAGCTTTGTGAATCAAAGGCCAGTTAAAAGTAGCCTTTTGCCTTGTGGATCAAAGGCTAGCCTGAAGAAGTTTTTGCCATTGTGAATCCAAAGCAAGCATGAGGAAACCTTTTACCCTGAACGAATCTGGCATGCAGGAACCCACGATTTTATGAATCGAAACACACTTTTAGGGGATTCTTGCTTTGTGCGCTGAAGGCATGCACATAAGGAGTATTTGCCTAGTCGAAGAAGGAATCAAGCTGGCTCCAAAGAAACCAAATTCCCAAACAAAGCAAGAAGTAAGCTTTCTCCAAAGAAACCAAATGCCCAATCGAAGCATGAATCCATCTTGCATGCAGGTAGCCATTGCATTGTGAATCAAGCCAGCATGCAAAGCCAATGGTGCAACCGAAGGATCATTAACAGGAGGGCCTTCCCTTTTGGATCTAAGGAGGTTGTTTCAAAGGAAACATGTGCCCAGTCGAAGCTGGTATAGAGCAAACAAGCAAAATACCAAGGCTTCAATCAAAGCTTGAAAATTTGATGCAAGCTTGGAGGAGGTTAGACGCTCAATCGAAGCCTGTCAAAATTCTAATCGAAAGACACCTTGTTCATGCCAATCGAAAGACCTTGTTTATCTTCAAAAAATTTATTTTTCTTTAATCAAGTGCTTGTAACCACCCATATGAGAGGAAAATCCATGGGGAAATACGAGAGGGTAAATTTTGGGGTACAACAGTTTTATATTATATACATTTTGATTGACATAGGTAAGCGGATGTATAGCCTCCCCAGTGGTAGAAACAAGCGTGTTAAAGTCCTTAGTGTACTAGGGCACAAGTTCGATCCCTGCCCCTGGTATTTTATTTTTCACACATTTTCTTGTTTGCAGATCACATGCGCGCTAGATAATACGTCCACCATGCGCCTTCTATTCCCATTCACGAGATCTTGTCATCATTTAATCTAAATATTCTAATGGGCTCCCCATGGTGACCTCCATGGAGCTGTAGCGCACAGAATCAGGCACAGCTTTCTTAGGCCTGACCCCCTTTACTTTTTAGCACCCCCCGGTTTGCTTATACAACAGGCCCATTCCCTCCTTTTTTTTAAATTATTTTTGCTGTAACTTTTTTTTAAACATAATTAACTTTTTTTTTAATTAAATTAACAATAATTTAAAATTAGGTTTTTTTAATAAACTTAATTAAACTAATTTTCCTTTTTTATTAATTAAATTGTTTATTATTAATTTAACTTAATTTTTTTAGGGTTTCATTATTTAAAAATCTATTTAGGATTTTTAGTCAATTTCTTTTCTTAAGTAATTAGGTTGTTTTAGTTTTCTTTTTTAACTAATAAATCTTTTTTTCTTAATTAAAATCAATTATATTTTAGGTTAATCATCAATTTTTCATCAAAACGACCACAAAGAAAACATTCTTTCTGTTTCTCTTTATTTCAACATCTCCGCGTGTTTACTTTTGCATTAATTTTCTCAACTGTGTAACTGCTACAATATATAAGAACTTAATTAGGACTTTTATTTGTTTTATTTTTTCTCCCTAGTTTCATGATTTTGTACCCCCTTCCCCGAAGGTTTGTAATAGTTTAGGTTTACATTCCGCACCTTTATTTTCTGCTTTTATTGCTTTTCTTATAACGGCTAGTAATTAGGGCATGTATGGAAAGATCTAAAATCAACTATTAGATAACCCTAATCAAGATTAAATAACTGAATTGAAACACTTTGCACATACTCACCTCTAGGGTAACCTCACTTGTTACCTTCGAATAAAAAAAGCAGTCATGTCCCTCGAACATGGAGACGCTTTAGCAAAGACCCTCGGTTAAAAAGATCATAGTCCCTCGATGACCCTTCGAATGTTGCCTTCGGTAAACGATCTAGTATCTTATGATAAAATTACTAAAGCGCCCCTACGAGTTTCCTTTATGACTGTACGATGACCCGCGTCTATCCCTTCACATCCAAATATAGGGCTTCCTACTAAATAATGATAGGATAGCACTATCTAAGGAGGAGGAAAATAACACTAAAGATCTTTGAGTAGGTAGATAGCTCGTAATCGCTAGCTCACAAAAAACATCTTTTCACACAAACACTACTCTTCTGAAATACTTTCAAAAAAACAAACACTTTGTATGTGTTTTTAACATATACAAGAACCATTACAAAGTTGTCATACTTAGGCATTTTTCAAAATATTTTCAAATACACAAACACAAAGAATTTTCAAACAAAGTGAGTTAGAGATTAAGAACTCGTAGATAATTACGGATAAAAAGGGTGTTAACACCTTCCCTTTTCATAACCTACCCTGAACTCAATAAATCTCAAAGGTATTTTATGTTCTTTTTAACCTTTCCTTATTAGATGAAAGAAAAGTCAGTGGCGATTCTTGCTATCCGCAACATTTGTGATAAGATTGAAAGGTTTTTCAAAGTGGATTAGGGAGAATTTAAGCTACAAGTAAAGAGTACAAAAGGTTCAAAATCAAATACATCATCCATTCGAAATATTCAACATACGTCACTTAATTCTAATACATCATAATTCCAACATAGAAAACATTACACAAATATTTTTTTTAAATCCTAAGACTATGTTCTTCATGGACCACAAGCTCACTTAAAATGTCTCCCTTTCCTCCATTTGACTTTATAAATAAATGCACCTTCACCTCATGGTACAAACTTTCTAAGCTGCAAGACACCCAAACTTGCATAATTACAACCAAAACAACCATGTCAATAAATTAGCACGCAATTTCATCAGACCTGCACTCTATACCAAAACCAGTAGAAAAATCCAAAGCAAAAAAAAATCATAAAACCATGGAAAGGAAAAAGAACAGTAGACAAGGAAAATATAAGCAAAATAGGGGCAACCGTGAGTATTATTAGTACAACAGAATTAAATCAGATGGACCAATTTCCAACCGAACGAAAATATAAAAATAATATAAGGAAAAGGTGGAAACTGTGAAAAGAGGTGAGAAGAGGAAATTGTTAAACAGAATTTACAGCTCATCAAAACTTGTTAACCAAGTTGTATTCGACTCAATCCTCACCCTCCATTTGTGTAACGTACTTACTTTGATCCTAAGGCCAAAAATCCTTCTTCTCTCACAAGATTTCCAAACTCTCACCAACTATATAACCCTTTCATTATTCATACACGATTCATTAAAACCACTCACAGAGAAAAAACCTCAAGAAAATCACACATAAGAAAACTCACACAGAAAATTTACAGAGATTCAGTACCACACAGAAAACTCACCAAAAAGAAAAATTTGAAACCCTCTCTCTAAAATTCAAGAAAACTCTGCTGCACTTCTCTCTCTGAAAGACATCCATCAACTTTCATCTCCATTTTCACATGAATCTTCAACCACCACGTCTTCACTAAATCCTCACCTCAACAATTCCTCAACATCGCCTCTTCACTGAGTTTATTTCTCAGTGTCTCACTCTTTCTTTCACGTAACAACATCAACATCAAAATCTGCAACTAGAACGCATCAAAGCCATATTCTCCAAACTCAAAACACGGAAAGTAAAAGTAGATTGAGACAAGATTTTGCATACCTTGATAATAGAGCGGATTTGTGAGGAGAATAGAGACAGTTTCAAATGTTGAATCACGAGAGAGATGAGATGAAGCCTTAAACGGTGCAAGTCATCGAAGCTAAACGATGAATTGGTGATGATGATGGCTAATCGAGTGGGAAACAGCAACGAGAAGGTGGTTTTTGTATGCGTCAGAATGAAGAGAGGAAGGTCAAAAATAGAAGCGAGGAGGATTATCTCCAGAATCACGAATGGATGAAAGGAAGAGGCGAAACAACGACACTATGTTGCAGATCGAAAGCAGAGAGAAAATAGCAGGTTGTCGCTGAAGGTTCAAAGAAGAAGAAGTTGATTTCAAGAAGTAACACAAACAGTCATAACCTTTAAACCCTATCTTTCTCAATATTGCGTCGTTTCACTAATATCTCATTTTTATTATTATTTTTATTATTCTTTAATAAATAATGATCAATAAATTGAACAAATGCTTGGGCCTGAATGAATCCGCTTGGGCCTCACATGGCATATTTCCTTAAGCCGAATGTTGTTTTTTTTGGTAATTTGATGCTAATACAAAAATCTACTTATTGACTTATGTTGTGGGCCTTAGCGCCTATATTTTTCTTGCATTACACTTTCTGGACTCAGCAATGCACCTCCCTCACTTTTTCGTCTATTTTAATTTTTTTTCCATTTTATTTGTTTTAGTTTGAATTTCTTTCCTTTATTTAATAGTGATAAAAATGATACAAAACTTGTAGAATATTTTAGAATTGTTTTAGGATTTCTCTATTGAAGTTTCAAATTATGATTTTCATGTTAATAATCATTTTGTCTTTACTTTATTAGCATGATTTTGTGATAAGAGATTGACTTGTGAAATTGAGTGCTTGAGGATTTATTTGGTTGATCATTGATGAAGCTTCTGGCATATTTCTTAAGCTACTTTGCACGCATTGAAGAGGCTACAGACTTTTTCTGTTAAGTACCGTTTGAATCTCTTTTATCTCTCTTTCATGCGTGATGCTAGGCTTTTATTGTCTGCTAGAACCATATATCGTAGTTTCATCTGAAGTCCTAACTCGAAGTAGGCAATGTTTGATTGGAAGTCCTATCTTGAAGTAGGCAATGTTTTATGTGCACACATGTGCAATTGTTTTGCTGACACAGGTGGTTGATGATTGTTTAATTGTTAAACTAATTCATGATCAATCTCCTTGAGACACTTGCTTGTTTGTGCTTTATGCCATGTTCCCGTAGGATTTCTTGATTCAATCTTATTCAAGATTTGAATTGAGATTGACCTTAGGATTGATATCCAAGCATGATAACAATTAAGTAGAATTCCCTTTATCCTAACTTTAGGGCCACTATTGTACATGACAACATTAGAACTTGAATTTCCCTTAGAATTTTTCTATTCTCTTTTGTATCTTTAAAACTAAAACTTCTTTTCTCATCAAATCTAAAAATACTTAATAATAAAGAGGCAAACCATGTGTCATGAGCCTTAAGTATTGGGAGGAGTGTGAGGGGGTGCGTTTTCAACCTTGTGCTTCCTTTCACTCATAGTTTTTAATGTGGTTCAGATCACCAAATCCTTTTTCAAGGTAAAAAAGACTCAACCAAATCAAACTTTTTTGCCTTCAGGATTTTACTTTTTTAAAATCTTTTCATGTAAGGAAATGTTAATTCCTTTCTATAACAAATAAATATTTGACGGAGACTTCATTATTTATCATTTTTTCCTAGTTGCCTCAGATGGTTCAGGAACAACCATAATAATATCATTCCCATGCACCTTCTTTCTTATCAGTACATCCTTAATCCTTTGAGGAGGTGCATGAGTAAATACACGGCCACTTCTGGTCAGTCCATTAGTGTGTGCAATGTTACCAATAGCAGGAAGAGGTTCAATTTTCACTTCTTTTCCATTCTCAAGCATAGTAGCGTTTTACTTCCATTAGACTACTTTGCTAGATTCATATGGCATTGGCCTTGGTAAACAAATAACTAAAGGTTCAACATCATTCTCTTGACCTTGATTGGTAATTTCCATAGGCCTAGGGATGTAAAAATGGGGCATAATCACAACCACATTATCCTCCTGACGCTTTCTACAAATTTGCAAAATCCCACACTCCATCAAACTTTAGATATCAATCTTCACCAAATCAAACCTTCTGGATTCTCTTGGAAAAATTGGAAATTAAAATGATCATAAAAAAACCAACTTGACACAATCTAGCATGTACATCTACTAATGGAGTTCTCACAAAATAGACATCGGTAACCTTGTTCTCACCAAGACACCCTACAACCATATTCACTACTTGTGCCCCATGATTGGGCAATGGATTTGCTTGGAAATTTGGCCCTACATCACGGAAAGATAGGATACCACTCTTTATCAACCTCTAAAACCTAGCTTTCAAAGCAAAGCAACTTTCTAAATCATGACCTGGTACCCCTTTGTGGTATGCACAATGGGCATTAGCTTTATACCACTAGGGTAAGGTCTCAGGAATAGCTGGTGGAGAACGAGTATGAACTAGATTTTGTTGAACCAAAGTTGGATACAACTCAATATAGGTCATTGGAATCGGGTCAAACACGGGTTTTCCTTGGAGCACGATTCTGTGGATAGGATTTTTTATTCCTTTGTGGTTATTGATAGGAAGGTGTAGCAGAAGTTGTATTAACAACATGAGTAATAGCAACAACATACAAATGATTACTATTACCTCTTGGTCTTCTTTTCCTTTCTTAATAAATACCATTATACTCTTCCTTCTTCTTGGAGTAACCATTACCATATTTCTTCACACCACTAGATGGACCTCCATATTTGGATGAACGACCCTCACGAACACCTTCTTTTAAACGAACACCCATGCCAACTATTTCAATAAAGTCATTGGGAGCGCTTGCAACCATTTTCTCATAATATAAAGGACTCAAGGTCTTCAAAAACATCTTAGTCATTTCTTTCTCTTCCATTGATGGACTGAGCTGGGCAGAAACTTCACACCAACTTTGAGCATATCCCTTGAACGAATCTTTATGCTTCTGTGACATAGCTCGGAGTTGATCTTGGTCTAGAGCCATATCCAAGTTGTATTTGTATTGACTAAAAAAATATCCAACAAGATCATTGAAACAGGTGATATGGGCACTATCAAGACCCATATACCATTTTAGTACAACATCAGTTAAACTCTCCTAAAAGTAATGAATTAACAGCTTATCATCATTAGTATGAGTGGCCATTTTTCTGCAATACATCGTCAAGTGACTCTAAGGGCAAGAGTTCCCATTATATTTCTCAAAGTCATCCACTTTGAATTTGATAGGCACTATCACATTGGGAACCAAACACAGGTCATATGCATTCTTACCAAACAAGTTCTTCCTTTTCATAGCCTTTAGCTCTTTCTGCAGCTTTTGGAATTGATCTTGAACTCCAATACCAAAGTCATGATGGAATCCATTAATATTATGGTTGATGATTCAACCATTGAGAAATGGATTAATGTTGACGAAGATGTTGGAACATCATCTCAGAAGACTCATGCTTCAGAAAATGAGGCAAACATTAAGTGTAACATTGAGCCAGCAAGTACCAAACTAGATAATTCTCAAGCCAACAAAGGTCCCTCTATTAGAACTCATAAAAGTCATCCAAAGGAACTTATTATTGGAAATATTAATGAAAGGATCACCACTAGATCTAGAGATGTGATGAATTTGAACTTAAAAATCTTCTTGTTTTGTCTCAAAATTTGAACCTAAAAATTTGAACCTAAAAATTTAAAGTAGGCCTTGAATGATGAATTTTGGATAAAGTTATATGCAAGATGAACTAGGTAAATTCAAAAGGAATGAAGTGTGGGACATAGTACCCAGGCTTGTTGGGACGGATGTTATTGGAACAAAATATATTTACAAGAACAAATCTGATGAAAAGGGAATTGTGACCAGAAACAAGGCTAGGCTTGTAGCTAAAGGATATACCCAAATTGAAGAGTTGATTTTGATGAGACTTTTTCTTTTGTTTCCCGTCTTGAATCCATAAGATTACTCTTAGGAGTGGCATGCATGCTAAAATTCAAGTTATTTCAGATGGATGTGAAAAGTGTCTTCTTGAATGGGTACTTAAATGAAGAAGTATATGTTAAACAAATCAATGGGTTCATAGATCCTAGATTTCCATATCATGTTTATAAACTAACGAAAGCTATATATGGATTGAAGCAAAAACCTAGGACTTGGTATGAAAGGTTAATTGAGTTTCTTGTCAATAATGGCTATAGGAAAGGGGGAACAAACAAGGCCTTTTTTGTTAAAGAAGGGTAAACTCATGATAGCTCAAATGTATGTTTATGACATTGTGTTTGGATGGATGTCAAACCAGATGGTCCAACATTTTGTCAAGCAAATGTAATATTAATTTGAGATGAGTCTCGCCAGTGAATTAATTTATTTTCTTGGTCTTTAAGTTAAACAAATGGATGATAATATCTTTATTTCTCAAAGAAAGTATGCTAAGAATATAGTGAAGATGTTTGGCTTAGAAAGTGCTAGTCATAAAAGGACACCTGCAACAACACACTTGAAAATAACTAAGGATGAAAAATGTGTTAATATGGATCAAAGTGTGTACATGAGTATGATTGGTAGTCTTTTATATCTTACAGCTAGATGAGTAGACATTACTTTTGTTGTAGGAGTATGTGCTAAATATCAGGTTGAGCCTAAAATTAGTCACATTACTCAAGTAAATACGATCTTGAAATTCATCAATGATGTAACACCCCATTCTAACCCCAAGCAATTTAATATATAATCAGAGTAAGATAGCATGCATAACATAAAAAATGGCGTCACATGTGTTTATAAAAACCAATAAAACCACACAAAATACACCTGGTCATAATCATGACACGTATTTAAACTTCATGTTTCATCAAACTGTGCACATCACAACAGAATAACTCTTTTCTCAAATATTATTAATGATTACATCCCATACTATAATCATGTACCAACATAATAACAAATTCATAACATAAATATGACATATGAATCCAAACATAGGGCACTAAGGTCATCCAACATATTATATCAAAATACAAAACCAAGTAAGAGAATATAAGAGTATCTCTTAAACACAAACATGATTTCAAATTATCCCCCTAGTGTTACATGACCAGAGCATGACAACTACCTATAACAATGAATAAATAGAATTTGAACTCTTCGCCTAGTCCTTGCGAGCACTACCTCTATCTTCGGTACCTGAGGGATATCGTATAAAACATCACTTCAACAGAAGGGTGAGAATTCATATTATTATGGAAATATATAATAAGAAGTAA